GATAAATTAAAAAATTGAAAAATATTATTTTTTATTATATAATTTAAAATAAAAAATAATTAATTATTTATTTTTTAAACCAACAAAAATGTTGATTATCTTAAAATTTGGGTAAGAGGAGTGGACGCAAGCCTCCATAATCTACCCAAACGGGTCTAGTGAAATTATTCGAATTTTTTTAAAAATTATCAAATCCAAGTTACCTATTTACCTTATCCAGATTACAATGAAACAATTATGTCTTTAATTGTAAGTTTTTGCAAACTTTTGTCTTTAATTACTAAAAATTGAAAAGTTTAGATAGTTAAATTACTTTAGTGATTTGAGTTGCTAGTTGCATTCTAAATTAATCAAGTTAATCAAATGTGATATCAACTACATGAACAGTTGAATAGTAATCTCTTTTTTAAGAGAAAGAAGAGTCTTTGGATTCCAATTGTTAGGTTATGAGTGGAGTAAATTAAAAAATAAAAGAAAATTAGTTTTAATTAAGCAATTTAAAATAAAAAAAATATATTTATTAGATTTAAGTTGCATGGCAGTAAGTGGGGTGGTTTAATTAATGAAAAAAATACTTTTAATTATACAACTCAAAATAATAAAAAATTAAAAATAAATAAAAAAAATGTTTATCAGATGTGATGTGCAAACCATTCGTCATGTGATTGACCAGGGGCATGCAAAAAGAAGAATTAGTTAGTGGATCTCATTAAAACTCCACTAACGTTGTTTGCTGATATATAAGGTCTAAGACTTAAGTTGAACACATTTTCCTTCTTAATTTTCTGCCCAAATGAGAAAAAGAAAGGGAAAAAGGAGCAATGGTAGAGTTAATGGCTCTGGGAGGAACATTTTCAAGGTTAGGACTACGTTAAAATAAGTTTTAGCTTAATTTAACTTAATCTAATGGAACTTGGTCTAATGGAATTTGGAGGTTAAGTTGCTGGAATTAGAATTTGATGAATTCAAATGGTAAGTCGGAACTAGGAAAACTTAAATAAAATGCATATAAAGAATTTAAATACATGACAAAGTTAAAATTACCTGGAGTTTGTTCCTTCTTGCTTGTATGATGAAACTTTGTGATTGATGATTTTTGGATTGAAAATCTATGAGCAGATGAAATGAGAAACTATGTTACTTATGTAGTTATTTAATATTTCTTATACATATGTTTATGTAAGTTATTTTATGAAGGAAACTTGGTTCATGTATCGAGTAAGCATCATAAAACATGCTGCATTTGAATTGAATCTATGGTAAAGACCTATGCTATAGCTAGGGAAAGGCTCTTAAAGTTAACTAGGCTGGGTTGGATTGTTAGACCTTTGCACAAGAGGATGCTTAGGCTAGTCCATAGATTTAGTGAGATTTACACTCACAAAATGAGTTCCATAGATTTGTTCATGGACACATGGGAACATAAATGGTTAAATGCTTGATTTGGTCCCTCAACTTTAAGAAATGAACATTTTTGATCCCTCAACAATTTTTTGCACTTTTTTGATCCCTCAACTATACGAAATGCACTCCGTTAGTCC